AGTCATAAAGGGATGGACATAGTCAGCACCAGTAATCAGGTAGGCTGTGGGGTGTACAGGTTTCACAGTTGCTACTAAGGGGCACAGAGTGTGCCCAGAAAATACAAGGTATGATGGATCCTTGTTTTCATTTTAGTTATTCAAAATTCTGTAGCAGAAATCAGACAAAGCAATATTTTTCCAGTCTCCAATGTCAAATTTTGGAACTTGTGTGAATTATAGCCTCGGTTCTCTGTTGTGGCATCTGGTGTGTCGTTCTGCTGCTATCACCCATCCACCTCCAGGTTTGACATAAGCATTCAGAGATGCTCTTTTATATACTTTGGTTGTAACAAGTGTTTGTTTGAGATAGGGTAACACAGATAACCACTTTGATTGTATGGGAAAATCCTAATAGACAAAAAGATAGCATTTCTTCCCCATGGTTGGTTTGAACTTCAGTAGGTCGTCTTCACCATTTCTATATACCTAGAAGCATCAAGCTACAGCCATGTGATTGGGGTATTAGACACTTCCGTTAACAAGCAGTTGAACATCCATCCATCAAGTCTAAGCAGAGAAACCCAGACCCCACAACCTCTTCTAGCTCATCCGGAAATTCCCAGGCCAGCTGTGAGACATAATATGTCCAGCATGTCCTGGATCTTCCCTGAGTCTTCCTCCCAGTAGGGCATGCCAAGAACACTCACCTTCACCTAGGAGATGCCGATTAGGTATTGTAGATATATGCCCCAATCAATTCATCTGTCTCCTAACGATGTGGAAGAGTAGCAGCAGAGCTTAGGTAAATCAACAGCTTCACTTTCAAATTCAGCCCTTTCTTCACACCAGTAAACATGTACAGGATGCGGGGGCCCAATCCATCTTTTAATCTTTTGACCTCTGCTGGAAACAGCACCACAGGGTAATCAATATATTTTGGCATAATTTCTGGACAACTGTTGTGTTCCCTACTTATATTCAGATTTCACATACTCAAACCGTTAAAAGCACTTAAAAGTTTCAGTTGGTTTTGTCAAATCTGTGGTTCATAAAGGCCATCAGAAAAACAAAACAATCCCACAGTAATCATCCCAGTATGTTTCTCTACAAGACGCCTGTTTGTTATTATTCATGAAGTGATTGATTTGCAGGCGAACAATGCAAACTCACTACAGGCCTAAAGGGTAACTATAACCCTAAATTAGATGTGAAAGTGATCGCTACTGTTAGTCTTTGCAGTCGTTTCTGAATAAACTCTAGTGTCTACATTTATAAATAGAAGGAACAGTCTTTCTCTCTGAGCAACAGTGCAGCTCACTGATGGTTTTTTTGGACAACAATGGAGCTCGATGACACAGAAAAGACATGTACAGACAACACTTGTAAATAGGGTACATGCTGTGTTGCGTTTGGTGTTGTGATGGGCTATAATATTTTTAAAAATCTCCAAAGATCGTTTAATCCACACAGGATTTGGGGGGGATTTGTAATGTGTTCATCACATAATGTAACAGCAGGTTTTAATACTTCATGTTGGATGTGAAATATATCAAATACAAATTAGGACAAAATTAATGTGGTCTTGTTCATCCATGTTTATTCGGACTGTGAGTATTAGACCTTTTTTAAGTACTTTTAGTTCTGTTCTGTAGTTACAGCTAAGGAAATAACAATGAGGCTTCTCAAAAAGATGTAAATAGAAGAATATGTGGATGTGTTCTTGTTCAGGAGGACTTCTGTAAGCGTTTGACCTTCTGAGGACATTTTGTCAGGTCCTCGCTTTCTTAGAGGCCTGTTTGATGGTTCAGGTTTAAATTAAGTCACATCAAAGCAATTGTCAATGAGGGACCTCAAGAAGATATACAAGAATATGTGTATGTGCATGTGTTCTTGTTCAGCTGTGAGAACTAGTGTGAGTGCGGGGACATTTTATTGGGTAACAATGTTATTGCAGAGTTTTGTGGGGTTTCAGGTTAGAATCAGGTTACAGTTAGGAAAATGTGATTGGATGAAATCGATGTCAATCGCCCACTTAATTCTCTGGAAACAACATCAACATTCCTGGATGAATAGCAGGAGGGTCTAAACTTTTTCAGTAGCGTTTGTCTTGGTGTTTACCCAATGAGCGTCAGTAAAAAAAATATAGTAAGAAATATAGATTTTTAGTGTTAAGCTTTTTTTCCATTTTATTACTCTGTGAGCATTAATGTATGATTCTATAACAGGGCTTCTGGACCTTATATCAAATTTGCATGTAGTCTGAGTCTAGTCTGTCTGAATTCTGTTTTTATAGTTAACATTTGCATTCAGGCATTTAAACACAACCTGTGTCTTAATCCCAGAGGTCAGGATTTTTTCTCAATTTTTCTTCTTTCAAATCGTCTTAACTTGATAAATATAGTAGGTGTTTTACAATCTTCCTGACAAATAACAAAACCAGCACAATGTCATATCCTCTTCCATCTATTGATTTATGCAGAAATTTGGGAATATGGTACTCAAGAAGCCTGCCTCAAGTGGACGTTAGAGCAATTGCAATTTTTCTTCAGCTTCATTTTTCAGCCCTTTGGGTTGCCTCTTAAATTTTCAGTGATGGGGCATAAAATGTTAAAAAGTTGCGTATCTGTATGTCTGTGTTCTTGTATAGCTGTTTTTATGAGGACTAATGTAAGAATTATACCATCATTGGGTTGTCTTTTTATCGCATGCCTATTTGAGGGTTTAATGTCAAATCAAGTTACAGTTAAGGAAAATTCAACAGGGTCTGTCACAAAGACAGAAGTTAAATGTGAGTGTTTGTGTTTTATCAGTGAAGTCCAGGTTCTCAGCTTTTTCCTGGCAAACATCCGTTTCCTTAGCAACCCAGACAGGAAACAGGAAGCGTGAGTCAGAGGAAGTCCTTCTAATCTTTGTCTTTACTTGTTTTAAATTGTGTTCTTGTTTGCAACATGTCCTCCTGCTGTCTGCGTTGCTGTGGAAACATTCCGGTTTTACAGACAGACCCACACAGACCAGCTGGCTAGCATGCTGTTAGCAATTAGCAAGCCACCAACTGCCTGCAAGTAGGCTACCATAAGCTAACAGACTACCAGAGGTTACTCCCACTCAGTCTGTTTTTCGGATTTGGTCATGCATAACTTTGGTCTTTATTGTAGGGCCAAATTTGAGTCAGGTGTTGATCTTCATATGTTGTTGGTCTTTCGTATCTGAATCTCAAGCACTCTACCACCATTGATAAGTTAAAGCTGGCGATGCATAAAATAATTGTAAAAAATAAATAAATAAAAGAAAGCCCAATCTTGGTGGCTGCATCAGTCAGGACACATTGGAGACTATATATATATGAACAGACTAGTGGAGACAACATAAGCTTTTAAAGTATCAGGGTGAATAACCTGTAATATATGGTAGAATCACAGAAGAGTTTGCAGGACAGTTTGTTAGGTTTGTTGGATACGGGAATAGAGATTTCCTGCCAGCACTATCATGATCAGGCATAAGAAATTCCACTGGTGTCTGTATTCAGCTCTCAATTCCAGATCAACACAAGTCAAACTGGCATGTGTCCAGTGTTGGGGAGGTTACTTTTAAAATGTATTCCACTACAGATTACAGAATACATGCCCCAAAATGTAATTTGTAAAGTATTCCGTTACGTTACTCATTGAGAGTAACGTATTCTGAATACTTTGGATTGCTTAATATATTATCATGCTTTTTACAACTACATGAATGTACTATTGCTGTGTGATTTATTACTATTACTGAAGGCTACTCACCATACCAATACTAGATTTTTAAATCTTAATATAAAATGAGTAACAGTAGGTGGACATTGGGTAAGGCATGGATGTGTTGTTTGGGTTTCCACCAGCGTGGAGTTACCAAAAATAGAGAGAGCATAGCTTAACATATGAAACAAGAAAAGACCGCCATGTAATCCATTTATTTCAACAAAGTAACTGTATTCTGAATACCACCTTTTGAAACGGTAACTGTAACGGAATACAGTTACTCATATTTTGTATTTTAAATATGTAATGTATTACGTTACTCCCCAACAGTGCATGTAGCCGAATTAATCGAATAAACCAAATTAAAGCAACTGTTGGATTGCTGGTTAAGAAAATAGAAGGACAAGTGTAAGTTGAAATAACCTTTTGCTCATTTCCAGCTCCATATTTTTATTCTTGGACTCTACTAGAGTACCATGCTTGACTTATAGTTCAAAATAATTCTTGCTGGGTCTTGGTGCAGTTCTGCAGTTCATCTTCTCTCTGAAACTAGTTAAATTAGCTCTAAATCCAAAGACTTTAAAAAGCAGAATAAGTTAAAAATTTACAGGAAAAAATGGAGTTCATTTAAATTTTCGAAACTGAGTAAATAAAAGCACTTAAATAAGATGCTGAAAAGGCTAATGTAACACAATAAATTGACTTTGTATGGTAAAATAGCTCTATAAACGTAATATAGAAAAATAAAACAGAATTTACTTACCAAATGTAATAAAGAAATACTTAATGAGTAAAATAATTGGCGACTGGCTCCCTGATGCTAAGTCTCATGGTTCAAGGTTATCTTTGCAGTCCATACACTGACTCGCTCATACATGCTAGCAGCTAATCGACCCTGCTAGCATGTACGAGCTTCAGCTGCTGCAGTGAGGCCCTCAGCCAGTTCACGTTTCTTTGTACTCGGCTTAGAATAGAAACTGAGAAATAAATCAATATGTAAAACTTTACATAATTCTGCCAGCATGGCAGTGGATAAGGAAAAAAAGGTTTGCAGCCTTGTTGCCATGCTAACAACTTCATATTGTGTAACTAAGTGAACCTGAAATGGCCTCCGTGAATTGCAGCTGTGTCTGACCCACTTCTGATTCACACTGCTCCACCATCTCCTAACATGTTTTTTCTCCTTCTTTTCCCCCCTCTATATCCTGGCCTCCCTCGCCTTTACCTCCCACCCGTCTTCCTCTCGCTCTTCCTCATCTCTCTTCCTCCCTTTCTACAGGATGGGCAGGGCAGCTCCCAGAACACAATCTGAAACCCTGAGACCTCTCACTCCCCTGCAGGATTACTACACTTTAACTACAGTATTACAACACAAAATCTTTCATAGTTTGAAGGGTTCAACAAAAGGCACTACAATATAAAGGTCTCCATCTGCTGCAGAAAGCACCCATCCTACTGCTACTACAGGATTACACCACATCTTCATCCAATCAAAACCTTTCAGAGACACAGGAAGCAGGCACCCCAGGCTGCACCAGGCTGCCCCAGGACCAGAAACCAAAGAAATCACCGGACCAGTAACCCAGACCAAAACAGAATCAGGAAAGACCAGAAGAGACCAGTCGAACTCAGTAAAGGACAGTGGAAAAGTTTGATGGGACTCTTGACGATAGGTGAGTAAATCTATCTTGATATTACTAGGTTTCCTCTCTGCACTTGAAGCGATGATGGATTTGCTTTTAGCCATTTCTGACTCTTTGTTGTCACTTTCAGCTGTTATGAGACTGTTTTGAGTTTGTTTTAAGTCATTTTTCCCATTTGAGTCCATTTGGAGTCTTTTTTTAGTCATTTGTTTTGTCTCTGGAGTTAATATTAGTTGTTTTATGACTGTTTTTAATCTTTTTGTTCTGACTGTTGGCTATTTTTTGTGCTTTGAGTCTGATTTTAGTCATTGTAGTCTTTTTGTGGTAATTTTTTGTGGGGTGTTTTTGACTGTTTTTAGTTTTTGTGAGGTTACTTAGTTATTTGTCATTTAGTCAGTTTGGTTTTGGTCATGTCATTCTTTTAGAGACATATTTAGTTTTTCTGAGGTCATTTTGTTGTTTTTAGCGGTTTTATAGCGCTGTGCAAAAGACTTGAGCCACCACTCATTTTGCTAGAAACACAATATATTGAGAGCATACAGAGACAGAGTTTGTAACATTCTAACAAACTTGACAGTCAATATTTGATATGATCACCTTTATTCTTCAGCATAGTTTGAACTGTCTGAGCCAGCTTTCTGTAATTTTTTAAAATAGTCTTCATGAACAGTTCTGCAGGCTTCTTGAAGGACATTCAAAGCTCTTCTTTGGATGTTTCTGCCTTTTATTCTGATCCCACACTTCTTTAAAATGTTGAGGTCCAGGCTTTGGGGAGGCCAATCCATGAATGATATTGTTCAACTGTGTGCTTTTCTATCCAGGTATGCCTTTATTACATTAGTCTATTTGGAATCATTGTTATGCTGAAAAGTGAATCTATTGGTACTTTCTTTATAATTCCATCCCTTTTTTTAAGATCTTCAACACCACTGGCTCAAATGCAGCCAGACCATAACAGAGCCTCCACCATCTTTTACAGATGGCTGTAAACGCTCACTGTTGGACCTCCTTCTGGAATTCCTCTCCCTGTTTCCTTTATTCAAGAAGGGTTTCTTGATAGCTGCTTTCCACTGAGACCATTTCCAATGAGACTTCAGTAAACAGTAGATGGATCAACTTCAGCTTTTTCTTATTTCTTACACACATGACTGTAAGGTAATGATTGTCTGCTGTAGATAGTTTTTGGGCCTGGTACTTCCTCTGTATTCTCCTCTCTTACAGTTTCCACTTGAACACTGCACTCGATGCTGAGATATACCAAGTTTCCCACTATTAGTCCTCTGAAAATTGTCAGGTTCAAGGACTACACTGAAAATCAATGAAAAAGCAGCCAATGTCCATAAGAAACCCTGAACAACGATTACTCAAGAGCACTTTAAAAAACATTACAAGTCACACTTTCTAAAAGCAAATTATAAAGAAATTAGTGGTGGTTCAAGACATTTGAGCAGTATTCTAGATTGCAGCGATTTTAGGACATTATGTGGTCTTTTCTTAATCTTCTAACTGAGCTTTGTGGATTTTACATGAAAAACAATTAGAGCCGCTTCAAGCAAACAAATATCCAGAGGAAAGTGTGTTTTCAATCTTAGGCCAGTATCATAGCAATGATGTAAGAAGATGGCTTGTCTTATTATGACTGAACATACATTTATGGAGCACTGACATTATACGCGTGTGTTGAGAAACTGTCGATCTGGAGACTTGATGCTGTTACATTGCTGTTTGCTTCAGGACAGGATTTGTAGTAAAAGGACCAAAACAAGAAAAAAAGGACAAGTGTGACATTTTAAAACACTTCCAGACACTCATTCATTTTCAGTCTAATATAGGACCCCGTTTCTGCTGGTTCCTCCACCTCTTCATTTAGGTTCCTCCAGCATATTTAAGGTCAATGAAGTCTTTTTTTTATATCTCAGTCTATAAAGAGCATAAAAAACACTCCTCACTGGCTCACATTCATGCCACAACATTGCAAACCTTGAGTCATGTTTGCAGGTCTGAAGAAGAAGTGAATTAGCTTTTCTGCTGCCGTGATTCAAACAGCGCTCACATCCTGCAGCTATTGGCTGCAGTGAAAGCAGCTGAGGCGCCCTGTCAGTAGTGGAGGAGGAAGCCATTTTTTTCTCTCTTTGGGCTTATTTTGAGTCTCTTCATGGCTGTTTTTAGTCATTTTGAATATGTATGTATAGGATCACCAGTCAAATTTTTACCTTTGGAAGTTATGCCTCGGCTGCCACCTTTGCTGTTGCAGAACTCTGCCATAGGTTTAATTCAAAGTTGTCTGAGTATAAAGTCTATATGTTATCAAACCTATGGATAAATACACTAGAGAATTTAATACTGAAACTAGTGAAAAAAATTAACTAGAACTCAACTACTTAATATAAACTGAAAGAAAACTAAACAGAATAAAAAATAAATAAATGAATGAAATGCTGGACAAGTACTTGAGTAACAAAACACAACAACGTGATTAATGAATAATCACAAAAGAAAAAAAATATATTTAAAGGTACGAAGACCCCTTTCTGACCTCGAGTCCAGGAAAACTTACCCGGTGTTCCCCTCCTGACTCCTCCAATAATAACGGCAATATCTGAAGTGCCTGATTAATTGGCTTTAGGCCAGTTCTATTGTAACAAGGTGGAAGTGTGTATGTAGGCTGAAGGCAAACTGTCAGCACAAGTAAAGACGTGCTTCTCACTTAGCCTTCACTCGACAACTTGCTGTGCTTTTTTTCTTCTCTTTCAGCCTCTGAAACACAGAATTTGAAATTCAGGACATCAAGCTAATTTTTTTTTTCAAATTATTTTATTCTGATCACTCGGTGTGTAAAACAGCCAGACTGTGATCGCTGTCAGCTGGAAACACAGACGCTCTTCTCACTACAGAGGAACATTCAGTCTTTCTGAATTATACAAGAGGGCCGTGAAAGTACATCTGAGCTTTTTATCAGTTTTCCAGCTGTCAACTAAAATTATACTTAACTTTCAGATGTCAAAATGTAGACTGCTGATACACTTGTTGGATTTAAAATGTTTTTTTGAGTAAAAAAGGCCTTTTTTAATGGAATTTGGTTGGTATTCGTCACATGACAGCTCATCAATTTCAAATGTACTGAGAAAAACTGACTAAAGGCTTTCTATGGTCTTCACCTTAATGTATCAATGACATATACCATATTTACATATTTGCCTAAACTGCCATAAATACAGCTGTGGTCATGCACATCTCATGGTAATTTGTTTTTAATGATTTCGTTGAACTGTTCTTTTTCCACGGTGGGATGATTGTACAGCATGGATCTTTAATAACTGAAACAAGAACTGGAGGCACAAGTTGGAATTTATTTGGGATTGTCTCTAATACTTTTGGTATCCATCAACAAGCTGCAATAAATGAAACCCATTTGACACCTCAGAGTTAATAGAAAAATACACCTGTTATGGGATTCACAAAGATTTAGATTCTGTTTGAAATAGATGGACTCTATGCATTATCACTGGGCAGTTAATGTTCATCAACCGGCTGGTGACAGAGAAAATTCAGTGTTTGTGTGTAACTCTTACTATTAATCAATTCTTATCTGACTCTTCCTGTGGTCTTCAGGAACCAAAGCATTTTTAGACCTCACTTCTACTTCCAGATGAAGAATGTAGCCTCAGCATTGTTCTGTGTGGGAGGACAGTGGCTCCACTCAGGACAAAAACTGGAAATGATCAAAGTGTTGACCCCAAGTTATTTCAGGACAAAGTCTCCTGCTGCTCTAATCGAACAAACAATTTCAACTTTTTCCCAAAAGTCGAGCCTAAATCGGAGAAGCACAGAACATCCTTGATCAGCTCGGTCCTGAAAGAAACCTGAGGACCAACCCGAGGAGACATTACATAACAGAGCACTCTGCAGGGAAGAGTGGAGGAAAACAGTCACTGTGAGCAACACAAAAGCTGCTCCTGCTCCCACTGAGTATTACCTGAAGGACCCATTAACATTTACAACAGCCAGCACAAAGATAACAAGGAGCTGCGCTTTTACCAGGGAAAATATACTTTGACTGCCGATATGTAGCAGAAATGTTTTGCTCACTCAGGTGTGAAAGTCTGATTTTCAGAGCGACTGAGATGGAGGGAAGAATGGGAAGAGAAGAGGGATGAAACAAAATGGAAGAAGCAATGAGAGATGGAAAGAAAAAAACTGAACCCGTCTACATTTTCCAGGTGTTTGAAGATCTATTTGCTGAATTGATTTTAACCTTTTTTTATTAGCTCTACTTCTCCGTCAGATTTATGAAAGGACAATACTAGAACTTTACTCAAATTTCTTATAGATCGTCTGCTGTCTGGCATTTTAGTTGATGAGAGGATTTATACTCCTAACTTGTCTCATATTGCCATTTGGTTAAGGTCCTCTGGTGTAGCTGGGTTCCTCTCTACCTTCATTTTTCAAAGTCTAGTGCAGGGTAGGATCTGTACAGAGAAAATAGAAACAATATTCCTTTAAGGCTGAAGACATCTGCCTTTATAGTGGATATAAAAAAATAAATCTCAGGACTTTTCCCTTGAAGACAGCAGTTCAGATCCAATAAAAGACCATTAATTGAGACCTGAATAGAAATCAGTTGTAGAAACTGCATGAAAGCATTTGTGTATACCTGCAGGTCATCAAAAGACATCTGATAAATATCAGATATGGTAAAAACTGCCATTGATCGACAAACTATTCAGTTTTATTCCATCTATCTAAAACATGTGTGGGCAGATTTTTTCTTTTCTCTGAGAATGTGAAAAAACTGAAACATGAACCATAATGCTGAATTGTGGTGAATTTCATGAATGTGGTAATCATAATGTAACACTTCTGGAGTCGTTACAGTACACTAGGACCAGTTAGGTTCGACTACTATGGATTAATCCTACCAGGGTTTTTTTTCAGTGAAAGAGCGCAACCTGCAGCAGGGGGCGTTTTTCCCTTTTCCTGCTCAGCACAGTTCGTTGGTGGCTTGCCATCTTGTTTCTTGCTCAGTGAAT